AATATATTTGTTGATTGTTATTTTGGAGTTTAGACTTTCAATTTGTTTTATATACTCTTTTGATATTTTTTTAGTTAAATTTATCAATTTATGTTTATATTAAGCTCTACATAATATTAATATATTTTATTTATAGTTAAAAAAAGATACAAATTTTGGTGAGCTTAATGAGTAACGAGACGAGTAACGAGCTTAACGAGCACGAGTCGAGCAACAAGTTTTTGTAACAAGCATGAGTCGAGCAAAATTTTAACGAGTTTAACGAGCAACGAGTTAAGTCGAACAATAAATTTTTTAACGAGCTCGATTTGAATATTGTCTAACTCGCGATCGACTCGCTCGATAAACACCCATATACATGACAATATAATATTAATCTAGAAAATAATCTGAAATAGATGTTATTTTTTATATAAAATTTATTATTATAATATATGATCTTTTTTATATTTTTTATTAAAATTTAATTAATAATATATAAATAAAATAATATATATCATTATCCTAAATAAATTTTTAAAAATTTAATCCAAATTTATTATAATACGATGAAATGATTGATTTATTTATTTGATTAAATTAAGGTGATTATAAAATATATGTTTTATGATTCTTTTATTAATTTAGGTAAGTTAGTTCGTGTTGATTTATTTATTTTAAAAAATTAAATACATTAAGATTACATTTATCATAATTTTAACTCTGTTAAAAAATTTATTATTTCTAAGTTAATGTAATAATAAACGAATTACTGGGTGCACGTTAGCAGGACTAAAGGAACCTGGGTTTCCCGTCGCGTCGCCGATGTTTCTTTCTGATCTCCTATCTGTTTTCGCTCTCAGTTGTTCTCTCCTTCTTCTGGTATGGATTGGAGAAAGCTATTTCGGTTGCCAAGCAAATCAAGAGCTTAACTATTTTCCCCCAAATTAGAACAATGAAACCCTAATTGTTCAACCTCTTCCTGAGGTATTTGAGGCTGGAACGACAGAGTGGAAGATTCTCTGGCAGGGCAGTTCCTAGGTGTAGCCCCCAATTTCATCACTTTGCAAAGAACCATCGAAAAGCTCTGGAATCACCCAACACAAGGGGCTCGAACACAGGTAAGTCTTGCTGTAAATAACCTGTACATTTTCTCATTCAGTTCTGTTTCAGCTAGGGACTGGGTCCTAGACAATGGCCCTTGGCATGTTCTCCACAAACCTCTAATACTTAGGAAATGGGAACCCAATCTTCATAGATTGAACTTTGATTTATCAAGATTTCCACCTTGGGTTCATCTTTATAATATTCCACTTGAACTGTATTCAAAGGAATGCCTTAGTTATATAGCCAGTGCCATAGGAGTACCCATTTCTATGGACTCAATCACTGCTTCCAAATCTAGGCTAGAATATGCTAAGGTATGTATCGAGATAGAGGCTAAAGATGATCTGCCTGAAACTGTTGAAGTGATGCTTGAAAATGGTTCTAAAACTACAATCTATGTTGACATCCCTTGGTTTCCTAATAGATGTAGGAGATGTAACTCCTTCGGCCATTCTGAAAAGGGATGTTTAGTTAAAACACCCTCTGCTCCTACTACTACAAAAATCTGGAGGATAAAAAATAATCAAAATGACAACACTGATCCTACTCCTCATGAAAAACTAGATTCTCTGCCTACGCCTGATCCTTCCCCGCAAGTTTCTCTGCCCGAATCTTCCTCTTCAAAAGATAAGATTTCTACCAAGGGTAAAGAACATGTTAAGGAATCTGGAAATACCTCTTCTTTACATAAAGTTCTTTCTAAAAGTGATTCTCTTATTCCTACTGATTCGTCAATTGAGGATTTTAAAGCTCAGTCATCTAACTCTATTCCTAGTGAAGATTCAACTATTGGTGATCTACTTGATCAACCCCCTGAAACTGCCCTCAAGATAAATGAGTCAATCACTATTCCTAAGCGAGGTAGAGGTAGGCCTATTAAGATCCCAGCCAAAACTGCTATAAGAAGTTCATCAAACATATTTGAAATTCTCTCCACAGTGGATGAAGTCTCACCTTCCTCTGAGATTCAACCCAGGAAAGCAAGGCATGTTGTTGATGGGGTTGACAAACTCATTAAAGAGCTCAAATCTAAAAAGATCAAAAGTACCTGGAAAAAATATAGAGGGTTCTTCCTCCCCTATCCCTCAATGATCATCTCTTTCTGGAACATAAGAGGATTCAACAATCCTAAAAAATAGATCAAGGTTCTAAATAGAGCTAAACTCTTTAATGTTGATGTTCTTTGTCTTCTTGAAACTCGGGTTAAACCTGAAAATTCTGAAAAAAATCTTTCACAATATTTTAGGTAGCTGGAATATCATTACTAACTATGATTATGCTACCAATGGAAGAATCTGGCTTCTCTGGAAAAAAGGCATTGACCTTACTTGCTTCTCTACTGATCAGAGCATCACTGTTAAATGCCTCTTCAATAACTCTTCTTTCATTATCACTGCCATATATGGCAGTAATAGTGGTTCCCATAGAAGATCTCTTTTGCAGCACCTTAATAATCTGGATTCCATATATGGATCTCAGCCTTGGATTCTGGGAGGTGATTTTAACACCTACCTTTATTACAACGAAAGCTCTAACTCTCAACTTCTTGGACCTTATTCTACAACTGATATGCTTGACTTCCAAAAAGTAGTTCAAAACCTCTCTCTCCAAGGTCATCCTTTCTTTGGCCCCCCTTTTCTTGGAGCAATAAGCAAAAGGATACTTTTCTTGCAAGGAAACTGGATAAAGTGTTAATTAACCCTCATTGGGCTTCCTCTTTCCAAGGATCTTTTGTTGAATTTCTAGCCCCAAGTCCCTTTGATCACAGTATGGCTAGGTCTGGACTTCTAAAGACTCAAATCAATAGACCAAAGCCTTTTAAATTTTTTAAATTCTTTAATTTCTGGACCAAGCACCCTAATTTTCTTGATGAAGTTTATTCCTCCTGGCACCTTCCTACTCAAGGAAACCCAATGCAGAAACTTTTCTTTAAACTTAAACGTTTAAAGCCTTGCTTGAAGAAACTAAACAAGGAATATTATAGTGACATCTCTGCAATGGTAAGACAAAAGAGAACTGAGCTAGAGTAGATTCAAATAGTTACTTTAAATGGGCAGAATTCTTTAGATAAAGAATTAAATGTCCAAAAGGAGTTAATTGCCCTTGAGGATAATGAACTCATGTTTCTTAAACAAAAAGCAAATGTGAGAAGGTGACAAATGCTCCAAACTCTTTCACACTGCTATTGCCTCTAAATTCAAAAGAGATACCATTAGGGTACTTATTAACAATGAGGGTAAAAAACTTGAGTCTTATGATGAAATGGCCAATGAGATCATTGATTATTTCAATAAGCAATTAGGAACTTCTGACCCTAATATTCTTCCTACTGATTCTGCTTTCTTGAAAAATTTGTTTCTCTCTCTGCTTACTGAGACTGCTGCTGAGCTTATAAAAAAACGTTTATGCTGAAGAGATAAAATAAGATTTGTTTAGTCAAGGTAATGACAAAGCTCCAAGCCCTGATGGATTCACTCCTATGTTCTTCAAAATCTCTTGGCCTATGGTAGGGGAGGATGTTATCAATGCTATAATCTTTTTCTTTCAAGAGGCTAATATTCCCCAAGCTTTAAACTCCACAATTTTAGCCTTGATTCCTAAAATTCATAACCCCAACAAAGTTAAAGATTACATACCCATTTCTTGTTGCTCAGTGGTATATAAAATTATCACAAAAATCCTTGTCAAAAGACTTTCTCTGGTGCTGCTTGATCTTATTACTCTCAATCAAACTGCTTTTGTGAAAGGTAGATCTATAATTGACAACACCCTTCTTGCACAAGAATTGGTAAAAGGCTATGGTAGGAAAACCATTTCTCCAAGGTCTGCTGTTAAAATTGACTTACAAAAAGCCTTTGATTCTCTCAACTGGGATTTCATTTCATCTACTCTTGTTGCCATAGGGCTGCCTCCCACCTTCTTAGGATGGATTGAAGCTTGTTACAGAGAAGCTAGATACTCCATATCATTTAATGGATCTCTAATAGGATTTTTTAAAGGTCGGAGATGTATTAGGCAATGAGACCCTTTATCTCCAATTCTTTTTGTCTTGGCTATGAACATACTCTCTAAAATCCTCAACCTTGCTACTGTTAGAGGTATTTTGGATATCATCCAAAACACAAGAAGCTAGGAATCACTCATCTCTCTTTTGCTGATGATCTTTTAATATTTTGCAAAGGTAATCTTGAGTCTATTATTAGTGTTACCAGCGTTCTTAACCATTTCTATACCTTGTCTGGTCTTAACCTTAATGTCAATAAGACTGAATTCTATGCTGCTGGAATTTCTGCTGGAACTCTTGATTCTATCAAAACTGCCACTGGGATAAACAAGGATTTCTGCCAGTTAGATACCTTGGTGTCCCTTTGGTCACTAGAAAGCTTTCTGAATCAGATTGTATTCCTATTTTTGACAACTTCAAAGCTAGACTTCATCATTGGTATGGAAAATTATTAAGCTATGTTGGACGTCTTGAGCTTATTAAAACTGTCCTCTATAGTTTTGCTAATTTATGGTTTCAACAGTTCATCCTTCCCCAGAAGGTTATCAATCGTCTTTAGCAGCTTTGCTCTCGCTTCCTTTAGAAAGGATCCGATAAAGCTGCCAAATGAGCTAGGATCAGTTGGAACAGATTATGCTGCCCCAAATCTGATGGAGGCCTTGGTTTGAAAGATCTTAATTCATGGAACAAGGCTTGTATAATTCAACTTATTCGTAAACTTCTTGCGAGAAATGGTTCTCTGTGGGTTGCTTGAATTCACTGTTATGTTATTAAAAATAGTGAATTAAGTGACATAAATGTTAGTTCTTCTTTTAGCTGGAGCATTAGAAAGCTTCTCAAACTTAGAATTGAGGCTCTTCCAATTATCTCTGCTGGAATCACTAAAACCACTGCTATTTGGGAAGAATTAATGGAGCATAGAGATAAGGTTCTTTGGCAGAAATTGCTCAGGTTTCCTCTTCACATCCCAAAACAAAGTATGATTTCTTGGATGATTATTCTTGATCGTCTTCCTACTCGTGATAGACTTTTCAGAATGAGAATCTCTACTGACCAGCTTTGTATCCTTTGCAATGAGGAACCAGAATCCAGAAACCACTTGTTTTTTGACTGTGCCTATGCTTCTTATATCTGGAACTCTATCATGATTCTTACCAACTTGCGAGATACTCACAGGACATGGAATTCAAGAATTGAATGTTCTGCTAAAAAATGGAAGGGTAAATCCTTAATTTCCATTATCCTAAGAATTGCTTGGAACGCTTTTAACTACTTAATTTGGGAGGAAAGAAATAGAAGGATTTTCAAAGGTGGATCAAGAACAACATATCAAATTCTCAAGTCTATCAAGGAATTTGTTCGTATTCAGCTTAACGATAAAGACATTAATAGAATTGATCATGTAAATTCTAGTCTTTGTAGCCTTTAGGGGGTGTTTGGTTCAAGGATTGTGGGATTCCCATGGGATGGGAATCCCACATTCTCATGTTTCGTTGGCCGGGAATCTCATTCCCAGTAATGTTTTATTACCAATAGTATATTTTTTGAGATATATTATCGGGAATGTCATTACCTCCATTCCCTTAGGTATTGTAACATTACCGGTGTTTTGGACTAAAATGCCCTTAAATTTTTTATTTTTTTTCAAAAATATCATTCTTCTGTCATTGAATAATAAAAATTCTACGAATGTTAAATTACAAATTTATCCTTAAATTAATTTAGATTTACAAAAAAAAGTCTATAATTAAAATTTTATATGAAGTTCAGGGGTTAAAATTTTTTTTACCCTTTCATTAAACCTTTTTTATATTTTTAATTTTGTAAAAAAATTATATAAATATTATGAATTTATTTTTTAAAAATATATATATAAATATTTTACAATTTGTAATATTATACAAATATATAATAAGGACAATTTGGTCAAATATACATTCCAATAATCTTTTATTCCTTTAACCAAACACGGTAATCTTACATTCCTACTAAACCAACCAAATACAAAATATAACATTCCCAGTAATCCTATTCCCTGGTAATCTTTTATTTCCACTGGTAATCTTTTATTCCCACTGATAATCTTTTATTCCCACTGATAATCTTACATTCCGTGAACCAAACGCACCTTAAAATCTTGACTAATCATTATTTTTTTTTGTAAACAGGGACTTTTTCTCTCTTTTGGGATGGTTGTTAATTATTGAACTTCTTATCGGATAATTAAAGCTTACTTATCCAAAATAATAATAATAATAAACGCATTAACAGGATTATACAATAAAATAAAAAAGATAAAATGGGAGTTATTGCGTTCAAAAGACCATGCTTTTCATTTGTTTTGCCCCCACTCTCTCCTCTTTCGGTGTTTGTCCCCTCCATTTATAGTCTCTGAAAGTCTCTGACTCGGTCTTAGACTCAGATTCAGCTGTGTGAGCTGTGCTATTTCTCCTTTCCTTTTCAGCATCTTTAATTTTCCTCCTTCCCTTTCGACCTCCATCGGTAAGCAACTCAATCTCACCACAAAGTTGTTCGATTTCCCTTTTTTTCCATATATATATTTTTTGCACTTTGTTTTAACTAAAACGCCGTTAAACAAAAGAAGGAAAGATGAAATAGATATTTCTTTTTTGATTAATAAAGAGAGCAATAATGAGGTGCTGGAGTTTCCAAAAACAGGGAAATTGTTTTTGCTTTTGCTTTTGCGGCTGAGATTGAAACATCATTTTCTTCATATGTTCTACTTTTATGTGAGCTTGTATTAACTTTAGAGAGAAAAAAGGGTGGATTTTTAAAGTTTTTCCCACTCTTGCTTCGTTATTGTTCCTTCCCTTTTCTTGTTTTCTGGGGAAATGGAAGAAAAGGAGTAACTTTTTTTGGGGGTTAAAACTTGATAGGTTTCTTTTATTCTCACCTTATATTTCTGGAATGAAATCTGAGTGGAATTTATCAAGTCTTTAAAAGGAATAACGATATGATTAATTATATACAAAGAAGACCACAAATACTTTCCGAAAATTCATTCTAAAAAATACGTGTATGGTATTTGTTATTTGGTTCTAATGTTTCACTGTGGGGTTAAGCAAATAAAAAAGGGTGGTTGTGGTAGCTGTGAGGTGTTTGAATTTATGGCAGATTAGGGTTTCATTGAATTTTGCTTTGTCCAGTAGTTGATAGGTTGTTGTGGGTCTCATTCCGGGACTTACTTTGTAAAGATTGCCCAGATAATTCAATGCGAATTATGGAAGGCGTTCAAGCTGTTTTCGAGTAGCTCACTCGGTTAAAACGTGATATTTCTGGGATTTTGGGGGGTTGATAGACAAGGTAAATTCTTCCCTGAATTTTGGTAGTTGGATTTACTGCGGATGTTGGATGTTGGAGGTTTATGGATCAGTTCAGTAGTATGTTTTTACTCTGGGTTGATGTGATGCCATCCAACTTATTTACAAGAGTCGTATTGAGAGACCGGTCTGCATTATGGTGTCTACGTGTTTGTGTTAGCAATAATGTAGGAGAAGAAAAGCTGTACTAATATTCTTATTCATATTCCAATGTCTAATATATGACCTTTTTCTTTTTGTCTTTGCTTAAGTTGTCTAGTATGCTTCTGAACGATCGAGATCGATATCTGGGTCGAAGATTTGCTCTGCTTGAGGAATGATTGTTTGTTTAGTTGAACCTCTCTGCTATTCCAGTAGTGATTGTTTTGTTTAGGGGATTTAACAAATTTCTACTTTGTAACACTCTAGATTTGAGAAACAGAGAGGATTGGCTTTGATGCTGTGAGATTTACAGGTACGTTTTGAACTCAGTATGCCGGGATTTGCTTTTCTGTTGTTTTACGTGCTATGTATGATATATCTATATACATATAGTCTGCTTTATATATAAGGTTATTGAATTTAGCATGATTGAAATTCTTTTCTTTTTAATTCCTTTATGAATTGAACAAGCCTCTAGGTTATATTTCAGAATTTGGTGAAGAATTGCTTTGCTTTTATGTGAAGGATATTGTTCGAATTATTATATGAGTTCTATGTCTCTGATGGAGTGGAACACTAAAACCCCGTTGCAATGGGAATGGGAAAACCTAATGATGTTAAATGCGACACCGACTGAACTTCCAAGGAAGCTAATACCGGTAGAGTGGGATATCGATGGAGAGGAAGGAATGGATTCTGGATCTCTCTATTCTTCTGGTGGTGCTGCTGGAGGTAGTGGTGTTTCTGGCTCGGATTTGGACCTTGCTTCATCAAAAAGTTTGAAATCGGCATCCATTAATTCTTCATCTTTGGGAGAGGTAAAAGCAACCCGATTTAGTTTGGAGGCTTTTGAAGCTATCCCAGATAATGTTAGCAAAAAGAAAAAGGTGTCCAAGGTTGAGCACTCTGGCACCTCCCCAGTATTTGAGGCTCCTGTTGGCTCTGGTGAGCCATTACTCAGTTTAAAGCTCGGTAAGCAAACATACTTCGAAGACGATTTTTCAGGAAGCAATGCGAAGCCTTCATCATATTCTACAAAACACACACCATCTCCTACCCCAGCAAAGAGATCCAAACTCCATTGTCAGCGTACACATCTTCTTTGTTGCCAAGTTGAAGGCTGTAACCTCAACCTTTCTTCAGCTAAGGATTACCATCGGAAACACCGAGTCTGTGAAAGTCATTCAAAGAGCCCTAAGGTCATTATAGGTGGTCTGGAACGTCGGTTCTGCCAGCAGTGTAGCAGGTAAATTTTGTTGATAGTAGTGATTTGATTCTTTATTCCTGAACTTGTCTCATTATGAATTTGAAATCATAATTAGTATTCATGATGTCAAAGGTTCCATGGCCTGTCGGAGTTTGATGAAAAGAGGCGAAGCTGCCGCCGGCGTCTTTCTGACCACAATGCAAGGCGCCGCAAACCACAGACAGAAGCAGTCCACTTCAGTGCTGCCGGGCCATTATCTGCAGAATATGGTACATGTTTCATGTTCAAATCTGATTCGTTTTTTATTAGATAATTTGGCTGGAAATAATTATGCCGATTATAGCGTATGACTTAAGTTGTGTCGCTGCCTGTGCAGATGGGAAACAACTGATGAGTTTTGCCTGGAATAAAGTGCCATTTATTCATAATGCTAGAAGGAATGAAAATTTTACGTGGGAAGGAACATTCGACTCCCGGTCCTCTCAATTGAAAGGTTATGCATCTATGAAAGCCAGAAATGTCAATGTGCAGCTGCAACTGCCAGGCAATCAGCCACTGAATTCTATGGCAACACGATGTCATGATTCCACCGGCATCGCCGAGGCTCTCAACCAAGGTTTGTTTTGTTTCTCTTACCAGGAAAGAAGATTTAAAATTGCTTTTAAATGAACCTAGTAATGTAACAGCATGCCCTCGAGATCATGATGCTGCATGCATATGTTAAAATGATATCCTCTCATAATTCAACTGATTTACAGGCTTATACAAGTTTTGTGAACTCTTGGTAGGTATAGAAGAATCCACAACTGCATCGAACATGGGTACGACGCAAGATCTTCATCATGCTCTCTCTCTTCTGTCAAATGAGCGCTGGACTTCCTGTGAGGCGCCGAAACACGGTTCACTTTCCTACCCCATGCATGTTAATGGTACCAGCGTGTCTCAGCCTACAACAAATGCGATTTCACAGAGTTTCTCTTTCCCACGTGCCTTATCTGAAAACTGGCAGATGGAACAACGAAGGACGGCTCAACCCTTAGTGCAGACAAACTTGCAAGGCGATGGCGACAACCATTTTCAAGAGTTCCAACTCGTTAGGGCTCCATATGATGGCTTTTATTCCGATCATATTAATTAACTGCCACAGATTTCAAACCTCAATTTTCAACTAGGTAAGGTTCACATGTAGAAGAAAAGGTTTTTTACTGGTGTAGGACATGCTACCCCCATATTTTGGAATTCTTGATTCTATTTTATTTTTATCAAGTCAAAATCACTCTAATTATTGCGTGCAAGCACGAATTGCTCTAATGTCATTTTGGAGTAGGGGACGGGCATGATTTAAGTTAAATATCTTGATTGAAAAAAAAATCACGAAATACAATGTTCGAGTTCGAATCGAGATAAAAATATGGCTACAATCATATACATATTAAGATTTAAAAAACAAAACAAATTATTTGGCAATGTATTAACCATTTTGGTGAAAGTCTAAAATTAAAAAATAAAATAATAATAATTAGTATTTACAAAATTTCATACATCTCAATAAAGATAAAAATTACATATAAAACTAATCAAATTTGTTTAAGAAAAAAAACTAGTCTTATTTAAAGATTAAATGACAATTTCAAAGCCTATAGTATCGTCGATCATTTATTTTTTGTTAATAAAAAAATTATAATAATATAAAACAATACATAAAAGGTTAAGGTAATTTTATTAGTCATATAATCATTGTACAATTTTAATTGTTGTTGAAATTTAAAATTTTAAAATGTGTATAAACTAAAATTGATCAAATTAGAGCATAATAACTAAGACCACAATTTACACATAGTATAGAGACTAATAACAAAATTTTGTCTTTTTACAAACTATTTTATCTTAACAATAATTTTAATTATTATTCGTGTCAATATTTATCACAACAAAAAGTAATATTTTAAGTGACAAGTAACTTTATTGTCACAATAAATATCAAATAACAGTGATAATTTCATATGTCGTCACTATCATGTTATTTCTCGCCAAGAAAATAATTGACGTCAATTTGCATATTCTAATAGTGTCAAAAAATTTGTGATGGTGAAATTTGTGCCACAATTATATACTTATAGTGAGAATTTAATTGTGAGAAAAATATAATCAAAATAGTTATTACTATAACAGTGGCGAAATAAAAATACATCACAATTATTTTTATTAAAAATGTTGTAAAAAATTGCCACTAAAAGTTTAATATTTGTGACAAAATTATTAAAAGTCACTATCAATTTGTCAATAAAAACATTTACTCTTGTAGTGATACTTATGACGTAATTTAAGATTATCACATGTATACCATTATAAAATGATAAATTTATAAGTGAAAAAATATTATTGTCACGATTATGAACAATAATAGTGATCACATAATATGTTATAACTATTACATCATTTTCTATTATTAGGGACCAAATAGAAGTAGGACATAACTATTCACTTTAATAGTGACAAAAATAATTATCGTCACAAAATCACCAATTAAGACTAATGACAAAAACAATTTTTTGTCACAAATCACCAACTACGACTAGTGACAAAATATTTTTTTACAAATATGAATCATAATAGTGACTACTTAATATATTATCACTATTATAATTTTTTCAGGGAAAAATAAGTTGGAGCCAATTTGATCATTCTATTTGTGACTAATTGATAATGACAACTTGATTTGGTTCCAATAAAATACTATTAGTGACGAATTACATGCGATGAACTTCAAAGTTGTCACAATTATTATCGAAAGATTGATCAAATAAAAATAAGTCACAATTACTCATTTCAAAAGTGACAAAAATAATTTTCGTCATAAATAGCATACTTAATGTGATGAAATTCTTTAGTGTCGTAATAAAATGGTCACTAAAAATCTTAATTCTTGTAGTGCGCATTAAGTTTTTAATGACGGGTACTAAAATAAAACAAAAACTAAATATTAGGTATATTTTTTAAAATTTAAATATTAAAATGAATCAAAACCAATAATTTAAGTATTAAATATGTAGTTTAACTATAAATAAATGAGGTGGTGCGGGGAATATATTCTTTAAATTACATCATTAGTTATTAATATATTATATTCTTTTTACTTTGATTATTAAACTATTATTAATGTTATATATATATATATTATTTTAATCATCAATACTTAAAAAATTAACGGTAATAATCACATGAATTTTTTTCATATTATTTTTTAAAATGTTTTCATGTTGTTTTTCTTCTTTTTAATCAACAATCTATATAAATTTTTTATAATACTTTAATTCGAACCATTAAGATGATAACATGAGATTAGAACCAAAATCCTTTAAAAAAAATCTTGCACTTGACCACCAAACAAAGTCAAATATGTCAACATTTCACTAAAATTTATATTTAAACTAATCATACAAAAATAAAAGAAAAATAAAATGCGTAATCGGGAAGAGAATATTATTTTCTTTAGAGATCTTAGATTCAAACAATTATAATTATAGAATGTGTGTTATCAATCAGTGAAGAAAGTTCTAAACAGACATTAACTTATAATTACCTCGACTACTATAAAATTTTAGGTTTCAACTTCCCCTCTCGAGATGGTGAAATGTTAACAATAACATGTATTTGGCTTAGCTTTGTGACTAACTATACTTTTGCAATGCATATTGGTTTCGAGTACCATATTTTGCATTCTTAATTTTTTTTATACATTATCTCTTTATAATTCAGATAAAATTATTTAAAATTTGATATAAAATAATATAAAAATCATGAAAATAAAGAAAATCACGCCAACACGGCTGCTAATTTTTCAATTATCGATGTCCGAACAATGACGATTTTATTAAAAATAATTGGACAAGAAAATAAAAACACAAAAAATTGGTGACTAATAGAGTAGTTTACCCTAATTCTATTTTTTAAAAGAAAAATCAAATTATATTGGATCATAATTGTTAAGATTTATGGTGATAGTCCAATTTCTTTCTTGCTATGACTTTGTTCTTCATCATGGATTCATATTTCTCAACCAAAATCTACTTCAAACAAAACTCTATCCATAATTATATATGGGGGTTTTAGTGATTATAATATGGGTTGGAATTAGGACAAAACATCAAATATTTAAGGTTGTCACATCATGAGGCATTTCTCAAACCAAATTTCCCACATCTTCTGGGTTTAAGCTTATCTTTCGCTTCTATTATTGGATTTAAAGTGAAGATATTAATTTTTTATCCATATTATTATTATTAATATTATTATTATTATTATTATTATTATTATTATTATTATTATTATTATTACTATTATTATTATTATTATCATTATTATTATTATTATTAAGTATATATTAACATATATATAATAATAATTACAGACCAATTACAACTGGACCGGCCCAGTTACAACAAACAGAACCGGTCCAATCAAACCAGAAACCCTAAACATTTGGGTTTCCAGTTAGGGTTTCCTAACCCTAATCTAAACCAGCCGCCTCATCACAACCGTTGGATCTGGCACGATCCAACGGTCCAGATTGCCCCAGATGGAAACCCTAGGGTCTGATACCCTAGGACACGCGCCGCCGTTGCTATCTCGCCGCCTCCGCCGCTGCCACGTCCCAACCGAACGCTCCAGAAGCTCCAACGCCAGCCGTCCACGCCACGGCTACGGGGTGAGTCACCACTGGTAGTCCGGTGACTCACCGAGACCCCCTCTTCGGACCGGTCCGACGGCTACAACGGTGGTGGCTATAAAAGCCACCACCCCAACCTGAAAAAAAAAAGAAAAAGAAAACAGAGACAGAGAACGGGACAGAGAGACAGAAAAAAAAAGAGAGAGACAGAAAAAAAAACAACAGAGAAGATACAAACTATTACCAACGATCTCAGCAGCAAAGAACCAGAAGAAAAAAGAAAAAGAAAAAGGAAGAAGAGACTTACCGAGGAAGCCTCGACCACCGGATCTCGTCAGAACCTTCGAAACATCGAAGGTATTTTTGTAGATTCGCTCCGATTAGGAGCTTTTTAAGGGAAAAGAACACTGGGACCGTCCTTAGGACGGTCCGATCTATCTATTAATATAAAAATAATTTTTTCCGGCCACCGGATGCGGTGGCCGGCGGTGACATTCACGGCGGCACACGGTGGCCGACCGGTGACCGGCTTCCCTCCGATGAGGGAAGCTAGAGAGAAGGCAGAGAGTTTTAAAACTCTCTCAGTTTAGAGAGAGAGAGTGAAATGAAAAATGAAGGCTGGCCCTTCGGGCCAGCCGGTTTGGACCATATATAGTCCTTCCCGAACGACGTCGTTTCAGGAAGGACTATGCGCGTAATTATAAAATAGTTAAACCCAGTCCGCAGTCCTCCGAACTTGTAAACTTTACATTTTAGTCACTAAATTGAATTTATAATATTTTTAATTCAGTCTTCGAATTTTAATTTCTTTTATTTTAGTCCTTCATATTAAAATAATATATTTAGGATAAATTACAGATTTAATCCATTAATTTTAATAAATAATATTTTAATCCCTAGTTTATATTTTTAATTTATTTGATTCTAATATCCGAATTTTAGATAATTTTATTTTAGTCACCAAATAAATAAAATAAAGAATAACATATTTAATCCCTATAATTTTGATTAATTATGAATTAGATTTTTAATTTTATTTTTATTGTAATTTAGTCAGTTATTTTATATGTTTTCATTTATTTATTGTTTTTAAATATATTATTTTAGTAGTATTTGTATTTGTATTTTATTATATTGTTAAATATTTTTTATATTCATAATATATAATAAATAGTATTTTTAAATATTTATTTTTAATATCGAAGAAAAGGACAGTCTTAATACAACTGGATGTCCTATTCTGATATTTTAAAATTAAAAAGTAAACAATATTATTTAAATTAATATTTATCAATATCAAAGAAAAGAGCTGTCTCAAGGCACCTAGAAGTTCTTTTCGGATATTTTTAAATAAATAAATATTTTTTATATAATTTTGAAATAATAGAATTATAAATTAAATATTTTTGAATTTTTAAAATTTTAATAATAGAGACATTTATAATTAAAAAGTACCAATTTTGGGCGTTGTAGGGGTGCTAATCCTTCCCTAAACGTAACCGACCACGAATCCCTTTTATTATTAAAAGAACGAATTTTTGGTTATAAATGCAGATCAGTTCAATTTTTTTAAATTGATGTTTTTTTAACTCTTTTAAAAAATATATATATAA